TTAGGGACCCATCTTTAATCATAGGAACAACTGACCCATGAGCATCTTTTTTGATCCCTGCCTCTAAATCATTATATATTGAAGAAAAATTATACAGATGGTGAAAGAATATACTATGAACAAAATATATGATGCTATGATGGATTCTTCTTATAATTAGAAAATTATTATATTACAGGAAATGTGATGAAAATGCAACAACGTGATTGGGTTTAAGTGATATAATTACTTCAAGTTCTGAAAAATACAATTCACTACCTTTGAAATCACCCAATGCAACCAAGCAACACAAAAAATTCAGATCATTATATTTGTTCCAGTGAAAATCACTTCTTGTATTAAAATTAATCATGATTATCAGAAATATGCTGAAGGATCTTGAAGCAAATATACCCCATTCCAATTTGCATAGCTTTTTATATAAACTTTTGTAATAATTCTTAACAAAATAATTAACAGAATTTGATAATGATTCGAAACTACATATCAATTTATTAATATACTTTAGATAATCAATATTATGGCTACTCACACTATTCGAACTCGTATAGGAAAAAAGATTATTTAATGTGAATGTATCAAAATACTCAATAAAATTTTTTCAAAAACTTTCGCTTCTATATGATGAACATTTCAACGTGTGGAAATAATAAAAATTAATAGTATTCATCACTCGTATTATGGCAGTTAAGTCATTAAAATGGTCAAGATACACTATTGTTTAACCATCCATATCAGCAATATACTCTAGATCAATAATGAAACGAAATCCCATCAATCCATCAAGTGATCGAAAATTATCTTGTACCAATATGATTAACTGGATTCTTTCTCTTTGGGTATTATATTTAATGGTAATTATGGAAAGAGCTTACAAACCTTTATTATTTTGAACATCAAGAGCATGTTGGAACTTTTCTCATTGATTCTTAAGGTGTCATCATACCTCTTTTCTTTTGATTGGTTCCTTAAATCCTAAAAATTATCCAAAAACAATCCATTGTTCTTTATCTTTATCACAAGTAGAGACAGTAGTATTATCGTTCTTTGATGTATTAATAACATCAATTTCAAGTAACTCCCAAAAATATGCAGAAATTTCTGTTTTATGATATAAAAATGATTTTAAAGAGGTATCACTAACCAATCTCACTTCATGGATTAATATCTCAATTAATAAATTTTTAATTGAGACCCTGATCGAGTTTTTATTTCTTTAGATGATTTACAATCTGAGGATAAAAGAGATACACTTGTCTATTTTTTTTCTAAATAATCAATCTTATCTTAAATACATAGACCATAAATAACTTTCTGGGTTTGGTACTTGATTATAAAAAAATACTAAACTTAAATAAAAAGCTCATCACTAAATGACTTGCAAAGTTCCAGATTATATTTTGCAAAACAAACAAAATCATTGTTGCTAGAACATGGGAGACTAATGACTCCATTATGTTCCATAACCCATATAAAAGCTAAGGCAAATGCATCTTATCAATACAAAAATAGTCTAATACAAAAAAATGATAATATATACTTGATTGGAATCGAAAACTATATTATCTGATTCATGGGATATCTCAATTTGTTTTTGTTCACACCTCTGTTTTTTATTTCTACATGCTCGAGCCTGTCGTGATAACTTCTTCGTGGGTAGTGTTTTCTCTAATGTTACTTTTTCTTTTTGCTTATTGATCAAATTAGTTGTGTCCATCATAACAGTTCATAATTGGAATAAGTAAGAAAAAGGTTCATGGTATTTTATTAATAGGTGGGAAAAAAAAGACAAAAGCAATTTGACGAGCCATTAGAAATAAATTCCTAGAGTCAATGTCCTACTCAAAACAAATAGCATATACTTTTGCGAAAAGAACGTGGGAATGTAATCGGTAAGGGTATGTATACGACGGTTACCCAATAGCCTCCTGCTGATTTCTGGTGTGATCCATCCAATCAGAATAATTACTGTACGTACAGAACGTATATTATTTTTTTAATGGTCGATATACAGTAATGGAATTAAGTGATTTTTTGGTATAAATAATCACAAAATTTTTTTTACATCTAACTTATGTTGTAACAAATGTGAAAATATACGCGAAAAATCAATATATCAACTGTTGGTATTTCAAAAGAGTTCATGTGTGATTTCACTCGGAAAAGTCGTGTGTTTAATTGTAAAAATTCGACATAATAAAAAGTAGTGACTATTATACAAAAGTGTTTCTAGAAAAATAAATGGATCAAAGATACTGTATATTTAAATAGGCATATTAATTAATGAACAAAGCCTTATCATTAATAGGAAACTTCAAGTCTTCCAAACAATTTCGGACTAATGTCATCATTCGTGATGGCCCACATACAATCATCTTGAAATCACATGAATCCTCTTTGAGGTTTCTCATGTAGCTAGAGCTATCACTATTAGTTACGATCTCAAATATCGTATCATTAACTTCTACGATAGGTTTCCTCAAGTTACCACGCCCTTTAGATTCCATTCTGTTTGCGGACATCGATATTATGTCAATTAAACTGGAAGTTGGCAGTGCATCACTCGTGAAATTGACGCTTGGTGCATACCGTGATGATACAGATTTCGTTCTCTTTTGTTTTTTTCGTGATGTTTTCTGTTGATTCTTTGGGTGTATAATGTTTCGAAATCCACTCAAGCAATGTCTTTTGATTTATGTAACCCGAGGAACCTTCACAATTTTCACTTGGTGCATGCAAGAGGGTGTGAGTTATGGTGAGTGTCCCGTTGCTTGCGGCAACAAGTTCATTTAGATATTTTGCGTCTATGATCTCATCCACTGTCGCATTTGCAAACAAGATGTGCAAGGAACGATTCGTTTGCGTGTTTCTCTCATAATGATATTGAACCTACAGGTAAGTTGAAAAAAATTACGAATATGCTTATAGCTAATCAAACCAACCCATAAGTAAAATACGTAAGGTAAAAATACTACCATTTGAAGCATAGGGGCAAGTCCGGTACCACCGCAGATCTTAGTGTCGCGTAGAGAAAAAGATGAACCCGTAAATTCAAATTAACTTAAGCCCATTTTGATACGACTTACCATGAATAATATGTCCCAGCAGCCATCGGGAGATTTTGGATTGAGTAAAACACGACGTGGCGGAGCATTCATACCATGTAGATGTGTTTTCTGCATAGATGGGGTCGAATGATTTGATTGTAACAACAAAGAGAACATACGTTCGCCAATATCAAAAGGTCCACGAACTTTGATCTCGAAGCCTTTTAGTTGTCGGTCCTG